CCTTAAGAAGCTAGAAAAAGGAGCAAACTGAACCAAAAAAAGTAGAGTAAGGTTCTCAATCATGGGCAATTTTGCCCTCCAGGAGACATCTGACACTGTCTGGAAATGTTTTTGATGATCACAATTAGAGGGATGCTACTGGGATCTTGTATGAGAGGCCAGAGATGATACTAACATCTTATGATACACAAAAAAGAATTACCTAGCAAAAAATGTCAGTAGTATCGAGGTTGGAAAACTCTGAAGTAGAAAAAATAATAAAGCCAAGAGCAAAAAACAGAAAACAATAGGGAAAAGTCAATAAAATTGCAAGCGTTTCCAAAAAGATCAATAAAATTGATAAACTTCTTCCAAGACTGATGAAGAAAAGAGACATAATTTTTTTAATTACCTGAATCAGGAATGAAAAATGTATAGCACTACAAATCCTATACACATTAAAAGATAAGAGATTATAAACAACTTCATGCCAATAAATTCAACAACTTAAACAAAATGGACACATTTCTTGAAAGATACAAATTACCAAAACTTACTCAGAAAAAAAATAGAAACCCTGAATATTCCCTTATCTATTAAAGAAACTGAATTCAGAATCAAAAGCCATACCATAAAGAAAACTCCCAGCCCAAAAGTCTTTACTGGCAAATTGTACTAAACATTTAAAAAATAATACCAGTTCTACACAAAATATTTAAGAAAATGAAACACAAACAAATACTTCTCCACTTATTTTTTGAGGTCAGTATTACCCTGAAACCAAAATTTGACAAGGAAACTAATGAGGAAAACAAAACAAACACACAGACTAATAACTCTCATGAACATAGACACCAAAATTCTTAGCAAAATATTAAAATATTGAAACCAAAAACATATAGAAAATATAATGTACTATGGCCAACTACTAGGAGCTCTGGTGGCTCAGTGCCTAAGCCACTCCTCAGAAGGAAGACTGGGCAATCTACTTCCGTAGCGATACTGCCTTGGAAACGCAAGGACGGGTCACTATGTTGGACCCGACTCAATGGTAGTGAGTTGGCCAAGGACAGTTTGTGCAGGAATGAACACTGATTTAAGATTCAAATATCAAGTAATCCATATTGACAGAATAAAAAATGAAGTACAATATCATCTCAATACATATAAAAAAGGCATTTGACAAAATGCAGCATCCATTCATGATTAAAAAAATAAAAAACTCTCAGCAAATTAGAGAAGAAGATAAAAGCCATCTGCAAAAAACCTAGTTACCACCATCGATGGTGAAATACATGTTCTCCCAAGAACAGGAGAAAAGACAAAGATAGCTAGCTTCCTCTCATCACTTCTACCTGGCATTGTATCAAAGGTCATAACCAGAGCAAGGCCAATTAAAATAAGTATCATACAGAATGGAAAGGAAGAAGCAAAACTGTCTCTATTCACAGACAATGTTATTGCTGATTCAGAAAATCCTACAGAATATGCAAATAGAACAAGTGACTTTAGTGAAGTCCATATACCAAATTCAATTGCCACTTAAAATAGCATCAAAGAATATGAAATAGCTAAGGATAAACTTAACAATGTATATGTACTAAAAACTACAGAGTAATCCTGAAAAAAAAGTTAAGACAAATAACTGAAAAAACAGAACCATATTATGCTCATGGGTCAAAAGATTCAATATTGTTAAGACTGTCAAGTCTCCCCAGACTGATCTACAGATTCAGTGCAATTCTAATCAAAATGCCAGCAAGCTTTGTCATAGAAATCGACAAGCTGATTCTAAAATGAATGTGAAAATAAAAAGGACCTAGGATAACCAAAGGAACTTTTAAAAAAGAATGAAGATGAAAAGACTTAACACTACCTGATTTCAAGTTTTACTAGGTAGCTATAGTAATCAAAAAGGAGCTCTGGTGGTGTAGTGGTTGAGGCAGTTGGCTGCTAACCAAAGGTAATTGGTTAAAGCCACCAGCTGCTCCACAGAAGAAAAATGAGGCAGTTTGCTTCTGTGACGATTTACAACCTTGGAAACCCAATTGGGGTTGCTACGACTCAGAATTGACTTGATGGCAGTGAGTTTTATTTTTTTATAATAATTAAGAAGGTGTTCTAGTGCAGTGGTTAAGGCATTCAGCTATTAACCAAAAGGTCGGCAGTTCAAATCCACCGACCAGCCACTCTGTGGGAGAAAGATGAGGCATTCTGCTTCCATAAAGATTTACAGCCTTGGAAACCCTATGGGGCAAGTTCTGCTCTGTCCTATAGAGTTGCTATGTGTCAGAACCGACTCTATGGCAATAGGATGGGATAGTAAATAAGACACTGTGATACTGGAGTATGGACAGATATTCGGATCGATGGAACAGACAAGAGTAATTGTACATATATGTTAACTGATCGTTTACAAAGATAAGGCAATTCAAAGTAGCCAGTAGTCTTTCCAATAACGGTACTGAAATAACTGGATATCCATATGCCAAACAAAGAACTCCAACCCCTAACTTGTTTGTACCTTCTACAAAAGTCAACTAAACGTACCTTAGGGTTAAATATAAAACCTAATACCACAAAACTGCTAGGAGAAAGCAAAAGACAAAATCTTTGTGATCCTGAATTATGCAAAGATTTCTTAGGATGGAAGAAATGTGAAACATAAAAGACAAATGTGAGAAAGTGGACTTCATCAAAATTTAAAGCTTTTGTTCTTCAAAATACATTGTTAAGAAAGTGACAAAGGCAAATCACTGAGTGGGAGAAAATATTTGCAAAACACATATCTAATGAAGAATTCTTATCCAGAATTTACAAAGAACTCTTTCAATTCAGAGAGAAACAACACATTTAAAAATAGGCAAAAGATGAACAGACACATCATCAAAGAAGATATATGAATGGCAACAGGCACTTAAAAGATGCTCAAAATCATTAATCATGAGGAAAATGCAAATTAAACACGGTGAGATAAAATTTAAAAGATGGACAATACCAAATATTGTTAGTCAAGAGTGTAAGAGTGAAATCCTCATCTTCTGTAGTTAATAAACAACAAGTAAGAGAAGCTTGTTATTTAGAAATATGAACACAAACAGTAAAAGGAACTGCTAAATTGTCGGAAGTGGTAGCCTAAAGGAAGCAGAAATTGGATAAGGAGACATGGGACAGAGGAATGTTATTTTTCTTTATGAGCCATTTAATATTAATTGAATTTTGAAACTATATACATATATTACCTTTCTAAAATGTTAAGAACATATTTAAAATAAAAGCTAGCTCACTTTCTATTCTTAACAGTGCCGGAAATTAAGAAGCACCCTCTACATATTAAAGTTATACATTATTTGTGAAATTACCACTTGTTAGGTAAGAGCAATACTGGGAACTAGAGAACTTTAAAGATTAAAATTACTGCCTTAAACATTTTTTCAGAAGTTAAAGTAAGACATTTAAAAAGATAAATCATTACACTACCTCTTTAGTTGACAACATATTCTATTATAGAGCAATGTTTTTTAAAAACTTTAAAAATAAGAAAATATCACTGACTTCCTAAGTCACCTGATTTCCAAATTATAATTCAGTATTTTAGGAAAGTCATGTATGAAATACATGTTGATGCTTGTTCAGGGTAAAAATGATACCATAGTTAACATTACCCACAATAATTGTATTGTTAGCGGCCAGAGTTGACTCCAATTCATGGCAATATTACGTACAACAGAATGCAATGCTGCCCAATCCTGTGTCATCCTCCCAACTCCCAGCATGCCTGAGTCCATCAGAACAGCTATTGTGCTAATCCATACTAAAGAGGGGCTCCCAGATGCTCACTGGCCCTCCACTTACCGACCATGCTGTCTTTCTCCAATTTCAGTCTGTCATAATGGCATGGCCAACATAAGCAAGTCAAAGTTTCAGACAGTACTCTATGATCCAGAGTTTTCATTGGATAATTTTCAGAAATAGGTCACCATGCCTTTCTTCCTAGTCTCAGTCTAGAAGCTCCACTGACACCTGTCATCACGGGTGACCCTGCTGGGATCTGGGTTCTAGCATTGTAGCAACATGTAAACCACCACAGTATGAGAAACTGACAGGTAGGTAGATAGGTGGTGGATAATAAATATTAAGCTCATTTTTTTAAGTTAATTCTAAATTTGTATTATTAATGTACTCAGTTCCTTCTTAGGTGGATGTTACACATGTCAAAGGCCCTTATTATCTAAGGAAATATACCACACAGAAAAGTGATTCTCAAAGGGAGAACCGGAGGGGAAGTGGGCAGAAAGCTGAATCTCCTTGCTCTGGGGGTTGTGGGGGAGTGGAGGGTACCTTCTACAAACTGGCTAACACTCCCAATGCTTGCCCTTTATTGGTTTATTTAAAGTTTTAAAGGTATCATTACTTAACTTTCTTTCATTCCTTCCACCTTTAGTTCTTGTTAGCATTTGTAACATGTTTCAAAGCAGGCCTGGAGATACAGTTGTTAAAGTGTTCGGATGCCAACTAGAAGGCCAGTGATTCGAGCCCACTAGCCACTCTATGGGAGAAATATGTGGCAGTCTGCTTCAATAAAGATTACAATCTCGGAAACCCTACGGGGCAATTGTACCCTGCCCCATAGGGTCACTATGACTCTAAAATTCTTCTTAGAGTCTACACATTGGCAGAAGAATAAAAGATTACTTTTAGCATACGGCTGTATGCATGGACACAAGCTACCAAGGTTCACCACAGACTGTCCTCTCAGTCACAGATCTCATTTTAATAATCTCAGCAATAACTTTTCTGTCTTCCCAGATTCTATTCCTTCCATTCCATACTAAGTCAGGTTATGAGTCCTAGGACCAAATCCTCAGGGATGGTGATAAAGGAACCCATGGGCTCCTTTACTATTGCTCCAGGCTTGGTATGAAAGCAGAGCTTCACTCAGTAGGGCTCAGAAGGCACTTCTGCCTGAGTTTATGCTGCTTCCTTCCAGCTCTCCCTTCCAAACCTCCCGGGCTTGCTACCTGTTGGCAGTGCTGGTGTTGCTGCTTCCGCTGCTGTGTTTCTGTGCCCGGCTCAGCCTCCGTGGGGGCTTTGAATGCTGCAGCCGAGGGCTCGGCATGGAGGGGAACGTTGAGGCATAGCCATGTTCACATTCTAGAGAGACAGCAAGAAAAAGGTTTGGTAAGAGGCATATACTCAAATTCATGGATCCAAAGGATCTGAAGTCCATGCAGGCAGAGGCTGCTGAAAGTAGGAAAAGGCAGAGCTGAAATTCTCCCACCTTTCAGTTCTTCTGCAGATATCAAACCTATGGCATCATATACAAACCCAATCTATTCCCCTGCAAAATATAGTGGTATTTCCTCTAAACCAAGTAATTTCTCACTCCTCTCAGAAATCCTTTCCTCCAAGGATTTCTCTAGACTTAATAAACACCCTAATTCCTGAAAACAGTTAGCATTTACCTCAACAATTTCACATGGTTCAAAATTCCCTTTCCTTTAACTCCTAGATACTGTCTAAGCCCCACATTTTCATGTACTTCAACTAATTCACTTATCTAGTACTGTTGTTGTTAGGACCCGACTCATAGCAACCCCTCCTTGGGTTTCCGAGGTGGTTATCACTACGGAAATAGTTTGCCCAACCTTCCTTCTGAGAAGTGGCTGGTGGGTTTGAACCGCCAGCCTTCTAGTTAGCAGTCAAGTGCCTTAGGCACTATACCACCAGAGTTCCTATCTAGTCCTAGAGGGCCATTTTCTCTCCTGGCATTCCAATTCCCAGAGATCCTACTCTTCATACTCCAATCTCTTTACATCTCCAAAGGGTATCATCTCACCACAATTCTGTCTTCCTCCCTCTCCTTCCATTGCGTCTTTCCTTCCTCTACTCTCTCCCCACCTTTTCTCCTCACCTCTTATGCCTAGCTCCAATCCCTTTCTACGCTTTGTTTCCTGTCAAGTCCTCACACTCACCTCTGCATCCCCAACACCCTCTTTCCCTCTCCTCCTGTCTACCTCATCTCAGGCTCCCCTCATCTCTGCTTTTCCCCTCTACCCATACCTCCCCAGTCTGCCAGCCCTGCCTTCACCTGCTCTCCAAAGATTCCTCCTCTCCTCTCTCCTGTTGTTTGTTACTGTGTGTCCTCTAGTCAATGTGGACTCAGAGTAACCATACAGGACATGGTAGAACTGGCCCGGTTTTTCCAAGGTTTATACATCTTCATGGAAGCAGACCGCCATGTCTTTCCCCCAAACAGCAACTGGTGGGTTGGAGCTGCTGACCTTTTGGTTAGCAGCTGAGCGCTTACCCACTGCACTAACAGGACTCCTTCTCTCTCCTGTTGTTGTTGCTGTTGTTGTTAGGTGCCATCAAACTGCTTTCGAGTCCTAGCGACCCAAGCACAACAGAACGAAATACGACCCAGTCCTGCGCCATTCTCAAAACTGCTGCCATCCTTGAGCCCACTGTCACACACACAGTGTCACACCATCTGAGGATCTTTTTTCTGACCCTCTACTTGGCATGACATCCTTTCTCCAAGGACTGGTCCCTTCCAACATAACCAAACTACAAGAGAGGGAGTCTGGCCATTCCTGCTTCTAAGGAGCATTCCGGCCAAGACAGATCTGTTTATTCCTCGCGTGACCCATGGTACACTCGGTATTTTTTGCCAACAAGCACCCCAAATCTCCCCGTGTTCCCCTCACCTGTCCCCCATGCACCTCAAATGCCCTTTACCCTCCACACACAGGCGTATGCATACCCACACCTCACCACGAAAGCACCAGCCCTCACACTCACATGCACGTCCTCTCACCCGTCTCCCCTCAAACTTCCATGCATCCCGGCTCACGCATGGACACTACTGTCCTCAGACATACACCTCCTCCCCTCACACACATGCCGCCCCACAGGTACATCTCCTCTCACACATGCACATGCACCCTTCCCCACGCGCATACCTCATCACATACACTTGCACCCAACCTTCCTACGATGCACCTCCCCTCACACATGCATACCATTCTCTCACTCACTCACTCTCTCACACACACACACACACACACACGCGCGCTTACGCACACGCTCCTCCCCTCTCATACATGCGCTTCTTCTCACTCGCGCACCCCTCCCCTCACATACGAACCCTCGCCCTCACACACGCGCCTCCCCTCTCATATACACAGGCACCTCC